AGGACAGACCTGGGAAGGGGCTCTTCTCATCCCTGGTTCTCAGCTAGTGCCCTCTTGATTGGCTTCCTCCTGAACCCTAGAAGTTTTTTTCTTTACGATTAAAACAACATGTATCACAAATAAAAGAAACACCATAGTCCTCAGTTATTGCTTTTCATCCCTGGTTCTCAGCTAGTTAGACGTACCCTCTTCATTGGTTTTCTTTTGATTCCTATACTTCCTAATTCTTTATTTAATAAACAACATTTATCACACATAAAGGAGATATCATAGTCCTCAAACTTTGCTCCTGGGGACTTAGAGGGGACCGACTTGGGAAGGGGTTCTTTTCATCCCTGGTTCTCAGCTAGTTAGACATGTATCCTCTACATTGGTTTCCTTCTGATTCCTATACTTCTTATTTATTTATTTAATAAACATTTATCACACATAAAGGAGATATCATAGTCCTCAAACTTTGCTCCTGGAGAGAGGGGACAGACTTGGGAAGGGGTTCTTTTCATCCCTGGTTCTCAGCTAGTTAGACATGTACCCTCTTCATTGGTTTCCTTCTGATTCCTATACTTCTTATTTCTTTATTTAATAAACATTTATCACACATAAAGGAGATATCAATAGTCCTCAAACTTTGCTCCTGGGGAGAGGGGACAGACTTGGGAAGGGGCTCTTCTCATCCCTGGTTCTCAGCTAGCTGTACCCCAGGTGTCCCCCTGATTGGTTTCCTTCTGATTTCTGTAACTTTTGTCTTTACCATTATAACATTTATCATACATTAAAGAGATGTCCTCAAACACTGACTTGTCTATTGGAAAGGAGTCATACATTTCAGGGATGTCAGTAATAATGTTACCTAGTAATAGTCCTCAAACATTGACTTCTATAAAGAAGGTGCGGACTTTACTAGAGGAACACTGGAACCAGTTCTTCCAGGTGATCGGATCTTAGAATGTCTCCCCTTGAGGGATATTATCTATAAGTGTCAAGTCGGAGTAGACTGGAAACCCCGACACCAGTCTGTGCCTATTCACATATATACGAATAGGTCCCTCTCAGGCCTTTTTTTTTTTTGGGGGGGGGGGATGTTAAAATCTTCTCCTAGCTGATAGCAATGTCATCATAAAATATTATTATAATATGATGGTAATTGTTCACTCTTCAGTATGTATACATCCAGTGTCTGGGCTGTGACAGAGCTGAGCACCTTGCCCCATACAGGTATGTTATTTCTAATCACATGAGGCTCATATGTCACAGCACATGGTAACTCCTAATTTTATGCCTGGGGATAATCCAATTACACCAACAGACAATCTCCAACGTCCCCTTTGTGATCACACTTCAAGCTTTCTCTGCTCTCATTTAGCTGATATTTGAGCTATTTTGGGGCTAATTCAAGGGGCTGGGCTCAGAGACCTGATATAGCAGCTGATGATCCGCTAAAAATGACATTTTTTTTTAGAATCTTACCACCCACAGCTGTCAGTTAGTCGGCCCCGACGGCCCTCTAAAACTTTCTACATAAACATCTGGGCATGTCTCTGCCAATCTTCTGTGGCCATCACTATTAAAGGATGAATAAACCGTATAACAATTGCTTTTAAAAGACTGGATTGAGCTCTATATTCCACATAAAAATTACCCTAGACGACTTTATTAATTATATACATTGTTCCCCCATACAGACTTCAATCTATAGTATGCAGCTTACTTTGTTAATTAGATACCATTGCCCCCTATACAGATTTCAGTCTATAGTATACTATAGTATGTAGTTTACTTTGTTATTTAGACACCATTGCCCCCTATACAGATTTAAGTCTATAGTATACTATAGTATGTAGCTTACTTTGTTAATTAGATACCATTGCCCCCTATACAGATTGCAGTCTATAGTATACTATAGTATGTAGCTTACTTTGTTAATTAGATACCATTGCCCCCTATACAGATTTCAGTCTATAGTATACTATAGTATGTAGCTTACTTTGTTAATTAGATACCATTGCCCCCTATACAGATTGCAGTCTATAGTATACTATAGTATGTAGATTATTTGTTAATTAGATACCATTGCCCCTATACAGATTTCAGTCTATAGTATACTATAGTATGTAGATTATTTTGTTAATTAGATACCATTGCCCCCTATACAGATTTAAGTCTATAGTATACTATAGTATGTAGATTACTTTATGAATTTAATATAATTGTTTCCCCATACAATTTCTATAGCATACTATAGTCTGTAGGATTTTTTTTATATTGATAGGCCCCCCCCCCCCCCACTGGTTTGATTCTTTAGCATACCATAGTCTGTATTATACTTCATTAATTCGATGCCATTGTCCCCCTTACAGATTTAAGTCTTTAGTATACTATAATATGTAATATACTTGGTTGGATACCATTGTCCCCCCATACAAATTTTTGTCTGTAGTATATATGTAACTTATATGTAGCATACTCTAAATTAGGTGCCATTGTCCCCCATACAGATTTAACCCCAGATATTTTTTTTATTTTTTTTTTTTAAAAAAAAAAAAAAAAAAATAAAAAAAAAAAAAATAAATAAAAAAAAAATAAAAAAAATTTAAAAAAAAAAAAAAAAAAAATATTAAAAAAAAATAAAAAAAAATAGGTACTAGTCTGTAGCATACTTTATTATTTAGATTTAATTGTGCCCCCTCCAAAACAGATTTTAGTCTATAGTATGTAGCATACTTTATTAATTAGATGCCATTGCCCCCATACAGAGTTAACCCCATACTGTACTATAGTCATAGTTAGATATAATTTTGCTCCCCCCCAATAGATTTTTGTTTCTAGTATGTAGCATGCTTTAATAATTAGATGTCATTGCCCCCATACAGATTTAACACTGTATCTACTATAGTCTGTAGCATACTTTTTAAATTAGCTATAATTGTGTGTAGTGTATAGTATATAGCATACTTTATTATTTAGATGGCAGTGCCTCCCCCCCATACAGATTGCAATCTATAGTGTACTATAGTCTATAACATGCTGTATTAATTAGAGATCATTGTCCCTCATAGAGATTTTAGTATGCCATATTTTGTTTATTCTAAGTGAACTACAATAGGACATTCAGTTGGACGACAAAGTGAACAATGTCTAATGATCATTGACTTGAAGTTGGGAGATTACATTGTACATTCTGGGATTGGCTAACAATAGGACATTGAATGCATATAGGTATTGTCTGAGGAAGGTGGCATGTAGGTAACTGGATCTGCTCCTATCTCAGGGAGAATGCAGAAACCTGGCCGTTCACTTTACTTTGCCTATACAGTGCTAATCTACTTCTGCTACAGTTCTAGCATGGGACACCTGCGTGTAACTACCTAGAGACCCTTAGTACATGGTACATAGAAAAGTTTCAATCAATATGTTCAAGATTCGTATCAGTATTCATGAACACTTTCTGAAAGCATAGATTAGACTGCAAAATGACTATAATATTTTCTTCTCGGTTATATCAATAAACATATGTTCATAAACAGTACAAGCTCTTTGATATCAATTATTTTCTCATGCATTTAGATTAAAACGGGTCCATTCTGGGTTTTATATTTTGCTAAAGGAATATTTTTATGCTGATTTTAGGGACAAGAGAATCTGGATTAAAAACAGGTCCCTTCTGGGGCTGTTTGCCAGAAGATCATTTTATTTTGACCCAAAGGGACAGGTGATTGAAGTATCCTTATATCAGAGATGCGGGTCAGATACTTCAATGAAGTCCAGGTTGACTCGTGTAAAATAGATTCCTTTAGGAAATGAGACTACTGACATTTTAGCAGATTCTACTGTTATTATATATCATTTACTTGCTTTTTATTGAAGGTTCTTATTTTAGTAATTTACAAGTGACCGTCAACTTAGTGACAAAATAGAATAAAGGGACCAACTACAATATATTCATGATTTATAATATACGATTAACTATATATCTTAATTCTGATTGGCCCATTGCGAATGGGCTTCATTCTACATTTTGGGGGGGTTGATGCGAAGTTGGTAGCGGACGGTCCTGGACCGAGGATATGTTCTGAACTGTCCGGAGAATGTTCATACATCGGAGGAATTGCTGATGTTGTTCTGGAAAGAGAGAATCCAAGATCACGATTGTCTAAATATTAGCATTTAATGTCCATCTTGCTAATAAAAACACAAAATGTATAATAAAAACGAAATAATAATATATTAGTAATAATAATCATCGCATTGAAAATGGTGATTTTCTCCCAGAACTGACACGTGAAATCCCCATCTAGGAATGTCAGTACTACAATAACAATAGAAAGATATTCGGCCAAGTGTGTGATCTTCTGTGGGACTAGAAGTCTCAGTACTGGCACTTTCTGGCAGCAATCCCTTCTGAAATATTACATTACAGTATAAGTTTTTGCTCTACTAGTTCAACCAGTCAATCTACTGAGGGGGGCAATAAAAAAGAAAAGACATTTCCCTGAGCCTGACTGATATCTGAAGATCTTGTAAGGTCCAGGTAGCAGCCTACAACTACAACTTAGCGTTGATAAGCTACCACCAAAGTGAGCAGAAGACTGGAATGTTTGATTGTTATATTATGTTACAGTGTTTATGTTGTGTCTATGTTGTGGATAAATTCTAATTGCTGTCTATCTCCCCAGGCTTATTCCTCTGTCCCGGTCAACAACATGGCTCAAGGGTTGGCCCCCATGAATACCTACATGACCATGAACACCATGAGCTCCAGCAACAACATCACCCCAAGCTCCTTCAATATGTCCTATGCCAACTCAGGGCTAGCAGCTGGCTTAAGCCCCAGTGGCATGTCAGGAATGGGTGCTGGATCTAGTACTATGAATGGAATGACATCTGGGGTGGCACCCATGGGCAGTGCCCTGAGCCCAGGCAGCATGAACGCTATGTCAGCCCAGCAAGCTTCCATGAACAGTTTGAGCCCTTATTCCAGTATGAACTCAGGAATGAGCCCCATGGCTTATGCCCCCTCCAATATCAACAGGACCAGAGACACTAAGACCTTCAGGAGAAGTTACCCCCATGCTAAGCCCCCTTACTCATACATTTCATTGATCACCATGGCCATCCAACAGGCCCCCAGTAAGATGTTGACCCTCAGTGAGATCTACCAGTGGATCATGGACCTTTTCCCTTACTACAGGCAGAACCAGCAGAGGTGGCAGAACTCCATCAGGCACTCTCTGTCCTTCAATGATTGCTTTGTCAAGGTGGCCAGATCTCCAGATAAGCCTGGCAAAGGATCTTACTGGACTCTGCACCCTGATTCCGGGAACATGTTTGAAAATGGCTGCTACCTCCGTAGGCAGAAGCGCTTTAAATGCGAGAAGACCCAAGGGGGCAAAGGAGGCCATGACAGCAGGAAGGACCAGTCAGGTTCTTCATCACCTTTGCACCGAGGACATGGAAAGTCCAGCCAGATGGACAGCAGTTCCTCCATGTCCAACCCTTCCAGTAGCCCCCAATCCTTAGATCACAATGGTTCTACTGGAGACCTGAAGCCACAGGTGGCAGGCAATGGTGGCCCATCTCCTTTATCTTCTCACCCAGCTCACACATCTCACTCTTTAGTTCATGAGCCCCACATCCACCTGAAAGGAGATCCCCACTATTCCTTTAACCACCCGTTCTCTATCAACAATCTGATGTCTTCATCTGAGCAACAACACAAACTGGACTTCAAAGCTTATGAACAGGCTCTGCAGCAGTATTCCTCCTATGGGGGTTCCCTTCCTGCAATGCCCCTTGGCAGTACAACCATGTCTGGCAGAGGGACTATAGAGCCATCAGCGCTAGAGCCAACGTATTACCAAGGGGTCTATTCCAGACCGGTCCTGAACACATAATAATCAGACCCCATTCATCTCAGATTATCCTCCACTCTGGAGGACCATATCCTGTCCCTGACTGTTACTTACGTACTTATGTATTACAACGCAAAAAAAAAAAAAGTTATTTTAAACACACGAATGGAAAACATGCAGATTTGGAGATCTTTCAATGTAATATAAAAAGCACAAAGGTCAACTAAGCTGCAGAGGAGTGTATTTAAAAGAACTGTTTATTGTGTATATATTGCTATATGTCTATCTATATGTCTATCGATTTCCTAGGCAAGTTTACATGTCAGGGGTTTGGGCAGTAATAAAGGAAAAACATTTGAAGAAAAATACTCTTTTTTTATATACTCCAGATTTGTGAAGGACAATTGTGCTGTGAAAAAGGTTACATTTCCATATTCTTCAAACCAGGGTCACTACTGTGACAGGGACTGGGGTGTCCCTTTGTTTTGTTACTTCGTCATGGATAGAAAACTTTGCTGTATCTTTTAGCAGAAGAGAACCCATTTGGAAGAGCCCGATGGCAGTAACACAACCCATTCTTTGTTAGCTTAGTAATACGATTTTTTTTTACATTTTTTTTCTGATAGTGTTAAATGATAAACATAGGTCATTACAAGAAAAAAGGGTAAGATTTCATAGTGGCTGTTTATTCTCTCTCTGCTGGGGTCATATCCTCTCCGGCTTGTCCCCTTTGCATCAATTAAAATAGAGGGTCTCAATCATCCGGGGATAAGCTGGACTGGGAGTCTTTTCTGTGTGTTTATTTTTGTCATTTTTTAAGTTTTTTTTTTTTTTCCTCTTCCCGTATATCCGTAATTTATTGCATGGTTCCCCTGCTTATGGTTTCTTATGAAAAGGTTTTAAATAATGGTTCGATAAAAATGCAAATTGTTTCAAATGAATTTAATTTTATAAATGTAATTGTAATTGAAAATATTTTGATTTTTAAAGAGAAAAAAATAAAAAAAAAAATCAGTCTTGAATTTGACTGTCTTTTGGTGTGTGTATATAGATATTTATTTTAATACAGCATGTCTAACTGTGCCTATGTAAATTTGTAATATATACATTCATATGCACACACATCATACTTGCACCGTAGAATAATCTTACGTGTATGTTATTGTATGTCCTTTCCCAAATCCATACTCAAGTTCCACCGCCGCTTCATGCCTTGGGAATACCCAGAGAAAGGTTAACAGCTTTGCAGAAACACTGACTGTACATGTATATGTATATATATAGACATATATAGTATATATGAAAACACTGATTATATATTATATAAATATAATATTTTTTAAATATATTATATATTACATATGAAAACCGTGAATTTATATTTAGATTATTACATAATAATATATTTATTTTTTATATATATATATTACATATGAAAACAGCGAATATATATTTATATTATTATTATTATACAGGATTTATATAGCAGCAACAATTTGCACAGCGCTTTGCATATATCTATCTATATATATATATATATATATATATATATATATATATATATATGTTTGTATATATAGATATCATTTTTTTTTTTAGTTATTAGTATTATTTTTTTAATTTGTATTATCATATCCTGGATGAAAAAGCACCTGCCTTCTCTAAAAGCATGGTCTATTACGGTCTGATTAGGAACTGCCTTTAAATAGTAGTGGAGCATTCAGTTTAATTTTGTAAAATGTAGCATTCAGATTAATTGCTAGAAATTTTAGGTACCAATTTCCCCAATAGGTACCAATTTTATATATATATTTAGAGAGAGATCTAATGTAATATAGTTATATATATAGAGAGACAGAGGGACAGACAGAGAGAGATCTAATATATATATATATTCACTGTTGATGGAGTGGTATAGCAAAATTGTCGCATGTGGTGAGATCCTCCTGATTGTAAGATCGGGCAGATTGTCGGGGGCTCCTTTGTATACACTATAGATCCCAGATAATAACCCTTACCCTTGGTAAATGACACTCACCCATACTTCATTAACCAGAAGTGACCTCAGGAGGAGAGGGGAATGGGAAAACACACACCACTTGAATTCTGTAATCTTACAGTCAGCATTTGCTATAGGTCATGGGGAAATATCGCAATACATAAAGATCTCAGATCTCTGGAATGATGATCAGTAATAAAAGGTGTTGTGGCTGAATCATAATGTGATTTTCTTTCCCCCCTCACATTTCTAGCACTATTGAGTATAAAAAGTGACTGCAAACAGCCGGAGCTTTATCTCCCAGCAGAGCAGCAAAGACAAAGAGGCAGCTCATTGCATTGATCCTGCTCTAAGAGAGATTTTCTCCTTTTTTGTTCTATATGGGACTCAGAGTACATAGAAGAATGTGGGCATCTCAAGGCTGGGCCCAGGATTTCCATCTCAGCCAGTTCAGCAAATAACCAAAACCTCGTGTTGGTTCCTGAAAAGTTCAGGAAAAGTTCCAGCCACTTGTTCTCTTTTTTTTTTTTTTTAATTATTACATCGCTGTATACCTTTCAAATAACAATGCACCCCACCGATTGTTTCCAGAAGTATTTATACTCACAAGTGAAAAAATGAACCAAACAGAAAATATATAAAATGATTGACAGATAGATACATACGGATATATAATGCTAACAAATGCCTACAGACAGTGAGCAAACTCTTTTAAATAAAAAAAATAATACAAATAAAAACAAAAATGAGCATAAATAATAATGACAACAAAATAATAATAATAATATAAATTAGAAGCCATAATTTAATATTATAACAACAACAGCTAAAACAATACAAACTACAAAAACAAGCAAAAATAATAATGATGATGATGATAACAAGTATTATCATGAATGTATTTTTTATTATTATTATTAGCGTTATTATTGCTGTTGCTAATGATGTTATTTTATTTTGTCATTATGATTATTATTATTGTTGTTAGCCATAACTGAATAACATAAACACAGGAAGAACAAGAGATTTATAATGACAAAAAAACAAAATCAACACAATAATTCGAATAATAATTAGAAATCAAAATGTACTGTAATAATTATATATATATTATCAATAGTAGTAATAATAATAACAAAAATACATTTAGATCACAGTAATAGGGCTATCAATTCCCAGATTGCAGTTGGGGGGGGGGGGGGGGGGGGGGGGGGGGCAGGGATTGACCTGCAGTAAATAATACACATCCTATATAAACAGCATTAATGCAAAGTATTCCCTTCCAGCCAATCAGAATTCGATGCTCCATCGCACAGAGGAGTTAGGCTGGCCATACACTATGCAATTTTCTTACAATTTTCTGCCCAATTTCCTTTAGATTCACCTTCAACTATGTAGTGCAATGGCTTGCCTAACTGGATACAATTGAAAGTGTTGTTTAGGTTTGACCTCATATTATATGGTTTTTGGTAAATCTAAAGCAAAATTCTCAAGAAAATTGTATAGTGTATGGCCAGCCTTAGATAAGTGAAATGGAACTGCTTGCTGTGGGCTTTTGTACTTGCACCTTGTTAATCAATAGGATCCAGCGATCACTGCACATTGCACAAAGCAGAAGTCATACTGGAAATATTCTATGTAAGGTTACAACATATCACTTACTATAACAAGGAGTGTCAGGAAAAACAAGAAAGCAATTGACTCTCCTATGCAGGAAGAGTTATTGAACCGTGATGACGTAGAGAACCTGAATGACGTCCTCCTGCCCTCTGTACTTGTGACATTTTCCTATAAAAGCGATTCTAGCTGCTATTGTTTGAGTTTCCCCGGCATCAGCTGGGCTGGACTCTCACAAAATAATTAATCCAAACAAAAGAGCCTGCCAGGTATTTTAATTAACTATATAACGCTCTAATTTGGAGCTCTCATTTCCCTTAAACAAATAATGAGACAGTTTGTGAGCAGGAGGGTAGCTGGGTGGTTAGATCCAATGATACATGCAGTCAGAGGCTGGATGGTAAATATTATTATAGTGTATAGGAGGACAAAAGGAAGCCGTTTATCAGAGATTGTACAGGGAACTCTTTACCTGAGTTTTATTTGTTGTAATGGATGTCCTTCACATTGACACACTGCTGTGCCAGTGTGAGTACCTGTCTACACTCTTCAGGACAGAATGGGGACTGTGTATCCCTGTGAAAGGAATACTTTATGTATTTATTTATTGCTTATTTTATTTTGGACAATTTCCTGATCGTTATTTTTTACTAAACAAATACCATTCCATTATGTGTATGTTTTATATAGGTCTAAGTTATGATTGTATATATAGGAAAGCTAGGTGTGACTTTATATATTTAAAAAAAATAAAATAACTATATATACACACACACACACATATATATATATATATATATATATATATATATACACACACACACACACATATATATATATATATATATATATACACACACACACACACACACATATATATATATATATATATATATATATATAATTTTTAATACATATGTACACACATACATGTATATATACAAACATATATATATATATACACACACACACACACACACATATATATATATATATATATATATATATATATATATACACGAAAACAGTTGATGTGCTTACTTTATCAACTTACATTTGTTGCATGTTGTCATTCCACAAAGCAATGCAAAGTGTAGTGCTTCCTGGGCTTAGTCTGTGAGTTAGATTTACTAAAACTAGAGCACTCAGAATCTGGTGCAGCTGTACATGGTAGCCAATCAGCTTCTAACTTCAGCTTGTTCAATATTAGGCTTTGGCAATAGGAAGCTGATTGGTTTCTATACAGAGTTGCACCAGATTTTGCACTCTCCAGTTTTAGTAAATAGCCCCCCATGAGACAGATCAAGGACAGGGAGCAGTATCCCATAAGAACCATAACTACTATAGATTATTAACTTTTAGTAATAAACATGTGTATGCAGAAAGCAATATAGCAACTAATCCCACCCCAAGTTACTGTTCATCA